CAAATCTCCCAAAACCTCGCTAATGGTTTCCTGCAGGAGAGTTTAATGTTCAAACTCTATACCAAATCGGACACTAGGAATCACTCGCCAAAACTCTGAAATCTCTAACCATGAGTGTATGCTGAGTCGTTGAGATATGCACACAGGATTCGAGTGTGGTTAGTAAATTGACCTCACTTGACAATAGTAGTAGGTCTTCAAATTCACCTCAAGAGTATCAGGACACATAATGACTAGCTGTCGTGGAATGACTGGTGTACGTATAGCATTGAGCTTCAAGGCAGTGAGTGCAATTCTCAACCGTACACCAGTCATCAGGCATCTACACTCTGTCTGACTGAATGGATCTATAAGGACTAGGAAGGATCGTGAGACCAGTCAATGCCTATTCGTAATCTCCACAGAAGGCGAAAGGTTCAGATGCAGTCATAATGACAGATGACTGTTACGCCCAAGTAGGGCAGCTGAGCTAAGCCATTTGGAAAGGCATCTTGAGGGTATCTACGTCATCCCATACCGATGAGCCGACAATGCCGATCGTCCGTTGCAATTTTGTTTTGACAATCACCGGTTTCTGGCCAGCACATGGCGTCTGTCGACTTCAAACCAACGATGGACACAGAGAAATCACCTTTCTACTAGCCATCGTTGGAGAGAATAGGTGGGGGATTACCACCGTTTTTGGGGTACCTGTTTGGGCTCCGATCACACGCTAGTTAGCGCCCGTGTTTTTCTACTACGTGCCGGTCACAGGTAAATGTAGGCAGTGAAGAACATCTATGCTTGATTGGTAGATGAAGACGCCAAGTATACATTTAAAGAGAAGTTAACTAAGCCTTTATCTGAATGTGACAGCAATGCTCATCCTGAGGAAACCTGGCACGATATTAAGTCTGCTGTACAAACAACAATAAAGACAAGTGATGACCTATACCCGAATGTTTGCAAACGTCACTGGATTTCCTCAACGTCATCCGGACTGATTGATGCGACTGATTCCAGCTGGCTATGACCACGATAAAGCACGGAAGCAAATTAAACATAAGTTGACCAAGAGTGTTCGTGTCAACCACGAGCACTGGTGGGTGGTGAAAGCAAGACAGATGGAGATGTCAGCAGTGGGTAACACTTGGCAACTATTTAGTCTTATTAATGATCCAAACAAGAAGAACACGATGGCGAGTAAAGCCATCACCGGAAAGGATGGAACCCTAATGACCTCCCAAAAAAGGCTGGGCAGAACACTTTGAAGCACAGTCCAACTGGTTGACAGCTACGCTTTAGTCCTCCAACGTTCAACCTGAACCTGGATTGGGTATAGATGTAAGTCCTCTAACTCTCCTCGAATTTGAGAAAACTGTGTGACACCTGAAACGATGCAAAGCAACAGTATCTGACAGTTTGCCACCTGCAGTTTTTACGGATGGAGGTGGGAAGTTATTACTTAAAGTGACGTTGGTGCTGCATAGGTATTGCCATCAGGCTGATGTACCTCACTGATCATCCCAGTCTATAAAACACAGGAGAAATCTCCTTTGCGAAAACTATTGAGGAATTAGTTTGAATAATATTGTGCCCAAGATCCTACGATATATAGTGATCCGATGCCTAACTGAAGGTTGAAAACAAAAACTCGACAAAACAGCGCAGATTTCAGATCTAGGAGAGGGTGCATCGATATTTTTATCCTTCGACAGGTCCTGAAAAAGATATACTCACCGGTGCCGACATTTGCCATATTTCTTGATCTAAAGGCGGCATTTGACTCTGTTGACCAAGAGGGAAGGGAGTATCTACCAATTGTATAACGCTAGTCAAAACTCTGTACTCAAAAACACAAAATCTTATCAGGGCATATGGACAGTTGTCATCAGAACTGATGATAACTAATGGTATTCGCCAAGGTTGTTAACTATCACCTTTCCTGTTTAACTTTTCCACAGAAGTACTAATAGACTTAACCTTAGGTCACAAAGACTGAACTACTTGCTGGAGGTCATCTGGATGACTTGGAGTACCAATATGATACTGTTCTGCTAGGCAAAACGCTGACAAAATGCAGGGTCTTCTGAAAGCATTGAGCAGAAATATGAGTGTCCTCGGGTTACATGCATCCCGCACCTTTCAAATATAAGATGATGATCCAGGACTGGTCTGCAACTACTCCTTGTTTAGTGATAGGGAGTGAAGTGGTGGAATATGTCGACCACTTCACTTACTTGGGAAGCTGTGTCAGCCCAAATGGGCTGCTGTTGACGAGATCGCAGCTCGCATACAAAAAGCATTTTCTAACTTGGATCACCTGTGGCGCCGACTGGCGAGATACTTGATTATCTATCAAAGGACAAGTATACTGAGCTGCAGTCGGTTCTGTCGTGTTACACAGCTGTGAGACATGGCAGTTAAAAGTAAAAGAAATGAATTAGTTGCAGGGTTTTGATAACAGCTGTATTTGTAGCATTGTTTGTCTTTTGTAGAATCCCCGCGTGAGCAATTTTTGAAAACAGGCGGAGAGTACTAGGCAAGAGTGACAAATCAATTGATGGGATTGTGAACCTTAGACAAATGAGATTGGCTTGAAAATCTACTACACATGCCACTCCAAGACACCACCTACCTTGACGCCTCATGTTAGGGCAAGTTAGATTAGGTTGGAAGAGAGTTCAGGGTGGCGACACCACGACTTGCCATCAGTCGATTATGTCTCATATTGTTGGTCTGAGTTATGTGGAGAGATGTATACTGCCATGGTTGGGTCTCTGAGAAAAATGGAATCAGTGGTTGAGAGCTATTGTTGACACGGCTGAAAACTGGTCACAGTGGCGCAGATGTATTCACTCCTTGACAATCTTATAATGCATGAATATTTTCACTGACCATTATCTTCAAATTGTTTATTCTGTCACACAACTTTATCTACTTTAACATCACTCTTTTCCAATCCACCTGTTCTTTGTATACTACTGTGATAAGTAGCAATTCGAGCAGATGTACCTGCGTGTGGGGTTCCACGTTGATTTTATCAATCAGGAAGTTTCTGCACCCATGAGTAGACGTTTATTTATCTTCAAAATATGAATATTTACTAAGTCGCAAGAAACCTCAGTTCATTTCTTTAATCGAAATTCAGACAACTAATTATCTAAGTAAATCTCATTGGCTATCGTTTTTGCAGGATTAGAATTAGGGGACCGTATATTCCATACATTTGTTTCACTGATAAGGAGAAAAGTTTAAAGAGGATGAGGGTCAAGATGACCCAAAGCAGCAGTGAATAAACAGTGTGAATTGAGAAAATAAAGCCATAAGAAAAATATCTATGGCGTCTCATAATAGTTAAACAAAATTTCGACCCTTTTTTCATATGCAAGCATTTTTGTCAAAGCTGGATACAGTCCGGAAAGTAGAACAGTTTTCAACCGAATCGAAAAATAGTTATTTAACATACTGTTCCCATTCGAGCATGAAGATTTGCCCACTATAGTTACTTATTAGATTAGCTTTTAGCTGATTACGCACTGAAATTTATTTATATTTTGTTCCATACATAAAATGTGCGTATTTGGTAATCTAAGTAATAACAGCAACGTTTTGTTCAAAGCACTTTCATTAATCGGCAAAGATGATCTGAACTTAAAATTTTTTGAAATTAATGGCAGTTATTTGCTACTTTTCAACCTTTTCAGTAGCTGGGTACTGCAAATATAAAGAACAGTCGAACAGTTGAACTGCTTTCAATAAGACAAAAAGTAAACAGACCTTCTTTGAAATGAAAATTTTTCAAGAATATTAAAGAAATAGTTGATTAGTATTAACTTTTTTCACCATAGTGAACATCTTATTAGCTGTATATTTTACCTCCATACGTGAAATGTCAATCATTGGATTATGTTCCATGTCAAAATAGATTATGTTTAGTTGTTTCAACGCTGTGCTTTTGAACTACTGTTGTCCAGGCTCTTTTGCACTATTGGCAGACGATGGAATGCAGATTTGAAAATTTCGGTCCTACTGAACACGCCATAATTGTGGATTCCAAGATCATAATTTATTTCTTGTTTATAGTCAATCAGAAGTTTTTATGCAGTGGAAAGTACAAAGTGCAAGGAGTAGAATGTCGCACAGAGGCATAGCGATAGACATTTGACATTTTACGTAGTCACTCACTGTAATATTTTAATTAGCACCATACAATGTTATTCAACAAGCTAATTACCACTTTTCCCATTTATCTGCATACACTAGTGCAAACGAATTAATATAGGGACAGTAAGGTTTGATCGAATCTAAAAGTTTCTAGTCATTTAATGATAATTAGGTCTTCATGGTCAATCGTCTGCTCTGCATCTCTATAAGTGAATGTTTGTAGAGACATTTAATGTTAGTTGTCTTAAATCATGGTCACTACCTATAGTAATAATGTTTCAAAGAAAATTAAAGATTCTCTAAGTACGCACTTCATAGACTAACATTAAAGTAATCAGCTGATCTACGTAAATTATATTGTAAAGGAGTATAAACAGCAATCACAATTGAAATTAAAATACAGGATAGGGTAAGTAGATAGCTAATTTCTGGGCACCCTCTTACCTGTAATTTTAGCTAGTTTAAGTATAATTTACTGATATCAGTTTTTTGGTGCATATAGCTCTCAATGGATTGCATTACTTCATTTCTGTTATAATTTATATCGTTTTCAGAAAGTTGTTATTAATTTTCTTCAGTTGTGTATAAATTAGATTCAGTTTGAGTATGTCGTAGTGCTTCAGTCCTCTGTGCAGATGTTCACATCATTAATTACGGTTACAGGAATGGGCATAAACTAGCAAGATCATAACCAGTTCGCTCCTCCCATAATTTATTCGTCATAGAGAAAGTAAACGTTTAAACAAGTAAAATCTCTCAAGGTCTTACTTTAGCCAACTTTCTCCTGGCCGATAAATTTAAAATCCATTCAAAAAATTTTGTTTCACGCAGAAACAGGATAGTACGGAACTCACGGTATCTGATGCAAAATAGCATTGCATGAACTTGTTTTGATTGGGATTTGCTCTGATTTGAATAGGTGATCCCATTCAGGCATTACTTTTCCCGACGTTGAAACATCTTTATCTTCTAGCAGTGCCTATAAATAAAAAATGTATAAATTTTAAAGATAAGAGTGTACAGTGACAGTTACAGCATACCATAAAACTAAACATACAACTGAGTGTGTCAGTACAGTTTGAAAAACGCTGTAAAGCGAGTAACATGGTTGTTAGTTTAGTTGGAAGGTTTGGGAGAAGTGCATTTGTTTCCTATTGTTGGTGATGGATCCAAATCAGCTAAGCCATGAGTAAAACCAAGAAACTGTCAACATATTTTTGTGCAAGTTCGGTACTATTACTTGCCAGTGTATACCCATGACCTCAAGCACGAGCGATCCAATCCCCATCAGACGGTGCTATTTAAAGAATTTGTAGAGGTAAGAACGCACAAGAAGTCAAGGTCAAACAGTAATGTACTGCCAGTGGGGCTTGCAACTTTTGTGGTCATATGTTCACAACGCTGATTGGTCGAAATCTAGGAATAAGATACGATCTATTCTTCATCATTTTCAAATGGTTCTCCGGCTAACGTTAATTCATAATGATTACTTTTAATAATTCACCAACTGTCACTAATATCCACTATATTCAGTTGACAAACAACAACGATTTCAATGCATTATTTCGGTGATCGGAGATAGGTAGTTGGGAATTACAGAAAAACACACTGTATATTTGTGTAAAAAAGTGTACAGGTACAAGTAGTATGAATAGGGTACTTTGAGAGACTGCAGATATATGCACTTTTGAACTCAATGTTTTGTAAACTAGCAGGTTGGAGTTTTTAAAAACGAGAACCAGTAAGTTGTTAAGTGGATGAGATAGCAATAGCTGAGGTCAATAGAGCGTGTAAGAATGAATTAAATTCAATATATTATTGCTTGAACATGGTATTTTCTTTCATTCAGAGACTGCTGCCATTAACGTTATTTTTTCAGTGAACAACATCAGATAGACAGATAGATAGCACTGGAAACACCACTGTGAGTACCGAATTTTGATTGCAGACCATAAAATAATAGTACCACTTAAGTGACACTTTTAGAGAAATAGTAGGATTGCTTTTTGCCACATGACTAGTTTTTAAAGTAGAATACAAAATGTACAGCAGCAAATAGTTGTTCAAACTCAGTGTTATAGCAGTGTTGAATTAGGCAATCATAACAAAGAATTATATCTACTAGTAAAAACAGTTCTTGTAGACAAGGATGAAGGGAATATTTTTGTATTCACTATGGTGAAAACTGAAGTCCATTATGCTGCCCAATTTCAGGCTCTGCTTTTTTATTTGTGACGAAAACGCATTAACGCTTTGACAAAGAAGATGTGACGTAACTTTATAAACTGCCTCGCTTTAATGTGGTAATTTACCTACTGACGGCAGCCATCATTAGTTATTTCTAACCACATATTATATTTTGCAGCTGTATTTAGCAATTTTTTCAATGTATCTCTCAATCCAAATTAATTACAAATAAAATGAAATATCTACAAAAGGGAAGTGAACAAAAGAATGACAACCTAACAGCTATTTGATTTAAAGATTCTGGATTTCAGCAGATGAGAACCAGGTATATCGCTTTCGTTTCTCAAGGTCGTATGCTTTAGTGTTATTATAAATGAGAAACCAGTGTTGGTACTGAACACTTGATAATGAAATGATCATTATGAAATCTTTGAAAAGAGTATAGTCTGATAAGTAATAAATTATCTTCGCACATCTTAACCAAACACTAATCATTACGACTTCAAACAGAGATCATGTCGAGGTAAGTGGAAACAAAGTTCTTCAGTCTAGTACTTTGCTAACGATAAATAAGTTGTAAAACAAAATCCCTCTTAACACAAAATTCAGAAACATTTACTTGAATTATTTCTCACTCAATAACATATCATTTTGGTAATGTGTAACCTATGCACTCAATCTGTAGTCATTTTTCATTGCAAATGAATACTGAAGTTACTCAGAAGCCTTAAGTAATTAATACCATTGCTGTACCGTAATGTAGAGACTAAGTTTCTGCTTTTTATATGAAGTTTATGGGCAACCTAGGATCAAAGAATATAAGTATAACGATACACACTATTAACATTTAAAAGCTCGTATATGAAGAAGAACCAGTTTTAGGCCAAAAAATATGCCCTCTAGAATAATATTTTACCATGATAGTGAACTAACATAACATTCAACAAAATCTTCCTGAATACACTTCTAAATGCCATTCATTTATTACTTGAATGATGAGCTTTTAATGACACTTGTGAATTAGATCTAATTTCAGATTGATGAAATCAATATAGCACCACCTAGACTACGCGATTCACGAACCTGAAAATTCCATTTAAACACAGCGAACACTTTCAAATACCGAAGAACCAACTCAAAAGCCAGTCTCAAGATAGATCTTCATAGTTCAACTAAAAATATCACTCTGATGGAAATATATTTTAAATTAAGAAAAACTTACGAGTGTAATGTACATAAATTATACTACTACTTCAATTCAACGATATAATACATAGTTAGGCAGACTGAGCAGGAAAAACAGACTTTCAATTTAAATAATACAGTCAAAAGTAGAAGTTTATCCGAACAATGTGCTTTTTATTTGGCCTCGCTTGTTTTTTCTGATCCAATACAAACGAGGCCTAAAAACATGCTTATTTAATAGGATCTAATAGTACCTGCGAATCAGATACGAAGAATGAAAATATCAAACTACTGATCAAAACACTTATGTAATAAGGGTTATCCTCTGAAATTTATAAACCTCTCCAGAAGTCAGATAATACCAAAGCCTACTGTATATACGGTGTCGAAATCACTCTACCACAGAGAACAGAGTTGAATTGGATGATGAAGACTAACATCATGTTACGCAGCAGAGCTGATCATCATCGTGAAGAAAAAGCAAATGCCACAACACGAACCTAAACACCGTATAAATAATTAAGTCACGTCCCGTTAAGTTTGCCAGTTTACATTTGTATAGGTACACACATTCATAGGCAGAATTAATCGAGCCATGCAGTTAAGGATGATATAAAACGTGCCTAAATGGCTTTAAAGACAGATAAAGGAGAATTTGATAAGCCTAGGCGGTAGACAACCGTTTCATCTACAGCTAAACATATTACAGAATAGGGTCACCAAATTAATATTCAAAAAGCTTTCAAAGTTTTATATAGAAACAATGAGGAACGCATACCAAAATAAACATCAGCGACAGTCATATACAAATTAAGACTACCTTAGTGAGCACAAAAATCATTTGTTCTCACCCTACACCCAACGTGGTAAACTTGGTTTTCTTATCAAGATTGGGATCAGTTATATCACTCTTCTGTAATCGTAATCCCCTATTCTCATAATGTTTTATTTGTCCTCCCATCCTTCGGTTTTATATAAAATGGCCTGACAAATCTATACATCACACTGTTCGAGCAATTTTTTAGTTTAATTGCACTCCCAAATTTATAAAACGCACTGATCGTTTCAATAGGCGCAACTGAAATCCCAGATTGAAAATTACTAATTTCAATTTACACTACTCACGAGTAAACAATGTTTTTCACTTATTTTTGCCTGCAGGAATTGTCTGAAATGCAGAATTCGTTTGTTTTTACATTTCCAGAGTATTCCGATTTGATTACATACTCGTGTACAATTCATATAGAAATTTCCTCCGACAGGTCAAGTCAGAGTGTGAAAAATTAAGATTATTTCTGAAACTCGTTTTGTTATGCTCCACAGGAAATTCAATGATAATGAAAGGAAAAGTATTGAATATTTCAGCTGAAATCTCAAATTCCGACCATCATAGTGTGACGCTGTAATGAAATACAATTACTATAGAAATGATTTTATAGTTATCAGACATACAACATACCTTTCGTCTTCTACTTTCTCTTCAGCTCTTAGTAAAGCAGCTTCAAATTTGGTTCTGGCTCTTTTCTTTCTAGAACTTCTTCATCTTCACTGTCCTCCCATTCTTTTAAGTGTATGTACGTCTTTTTCGGACCATCCTCTGTCTCCTCAAATACTTCTTGAAGTGAATGAGTATCCTGTTTCGGAGGGTAACTTTATCACATGGTAATAAATCAGATGTAATCGAATCGAATCCATCCTACAAATATAAAATGCGAAAAATGTAGGTGCAGTTTGTCATTAAGCACCTGTAGTAGGTTCTTCATTCTTTGTTCAGTGGTGAAAATTCAACTGGTCCCCGTTTGCAAGAGTTTCAAGATCAAAAAGTATTTTGCAAAAAAATAACTTTAACAAGACTTGTTTTAAATGATGCCCTGATCCTGTCTCACTTGCCTAAACCGTCACGGATAAATCTGAATCAGTGACCTCTGATAAGTATACGAAAACTGATAGAAGGGAAGTCTTATCTCTGATTAGACTTATTCGCACTCTTTTTTGGAGTCCCAAGCAATCGGCTGAAAGTCATAAAACACTGAATATCAGAATAAACTCATATGATAGTAGGAAAACAACGGAGAAGGTGACTGAAGTGACAGTGTATTCATGAACTAACAGTGGAAAGAATTAGATATTAACAAATGTCCGATCATAGGTCAATATAAACTAGGTTATGGGAGGAAAGCTATTTGATACATAAAGAAGTTCAGGATATGGGGAAAAAATGGATGTCATGAATCAATGAATCTATGAAATTTCAGAAAAAATATTATGGTCGTAAATTATTGGAGTTCTTCAGTGATTGGCAATTATAATCGGTGGTCACCAATAGCTCTCAACCACTGATTCCATTTTTCTCAGAGACCCAACCATGGCAGTATACATCTCTCCACATAACTCAGACCAACAATATGAGACATAATCGACTGATGGCAAGTCGTGGTGTCGCCACCCTGAACTCTCTTCCAACCTAATCTAACTTGCCCTAACATGAGGCGTCAAGGTAGGTGGTGTCTTGGAGTGGCATGTGTAGTAGATTTTCAAGCCAATCTCATTTGTCTAAGGTTCACAATCCCATCAATTGATTCGTCACTCTCGCCTGGTACTCTTCAACTAACCTGAGTTATAGAGATTGTTTTTTGTAATGCATCGTCTCCATGTTCCATCGACATTTCATTATTATGTCAAATTCCCATCACGCATATATATATATATATATATATATATATATATATATATATATATATATACGTAGTTTAGAATGTGATTGATACAAAGCATCCGTATCATCATAGCAAATTCTACTTTAGGACTAAATAATAGCTGGCAAATAGGTTTATCAGGTGGAGATAAAGACGAGTGTTTAAATACGTACATATAACTACACCTGATAAGCAGCAATAATTCCAACTGATGTCCACTCTCCAGGTGATACATTTTCACCTGGAGAAGAACGGTGAGTGTTTCGTTCGAATTCGATGAGCTCTGGAGTCAATACAATGAATAGCAAGTCTTTCATATGTGTTGATGTTATAAAATATAATATCTAGTATTAATTTCACTTCGTTAAAAAAAGTGTGTAGTTTTCAGTTATAACTATTCAGAATTCGAATGAAAACACCAAACACGAAATCGTTTCATCAGTACATTGGTTCAGGAAACCAGTACCCCTAACTGGCATACATATATTCTGTGAGGATTTGTGGCTATTCAAACAAAAATGTGACGTATGCATGTCTGATGTTCGATCAAGTCATGATTAGTGCTAGCATGACTGGTTGTTCTTGTTCAATGGTTCTACTACTAATACTATGATCCTATAGACTATTTTTTAAATGTAACTGAAACTATGTTACTGTGGCCCTGTTTGTTTGAAATGCTTGTTGAGGCTGCTCATTGAGACTGCGAAAATGAACGTATTACAATTAAAATTCTTCTTTCTATGACATTCTGAAGTACTAGTTCTAATAATTCCGAAGAGTGGATAATTTAATCTATAATTCATTTCCGAAAACAGCACACATTCCTTTAAAATGAGATATTTCGGCAGCTATACAAGTAGTTTATTATTAAGACAATTAACTACGATATTTGTGGGGTTTTTTGCCCTCATTTTTCATGTTTAAGAAACGTTACAATCGTTTGAAAGAGAAGGTCAGGATGTAATTTTTTGTAAGTGATACTAAACTTTTAGAACGAGAAAAAGCCGTCAAAAACTTGGTATACCTTTTTACACCTATTGTTCAGTGTATCACTGAACTAATCATTTGCACACAATGATGAATTTGAATTTGGGGCGGATTTTAAAAGGGCGAATTAATGTTACTGCACTACTTTTAAGGCCTTTCTTTCTAGTTTCTATGACTTGTTTGATTCAATCACAATGTTAGGTACTGTTCAGCTAGACATCTCAAGATCATTTTCATAAATGTAGTCATTTTAAATACCAGGTTTCACTCCAGTAACTGAGTTTATACAGCGACCAGTTTATGTTTGCAAGTAACTCGTCTCGTATTTCCATGTATTTGACAATCTGTGTTTCACTAGCTGACTTTACTATCTAAATTGCTAACCATTTTATCAGTAGCAGAAGTCTGTAAAAAGTTTCGCACTCATTTTCTGACGTATTATCAGAATCAAAAGAAATATCCATGAACACCTGAATTATTTTCGCAGTGTTAAGCTTCTGAAGTCAAGTCAATATAAATTGCTTTATAAAGGAAAGTTAGTAATGGGGAAATAAACAAAGTGACTACAAAATAAGAATAGTTACGTCATATATGGGTTATTTAGAGTGATCGATAATTTACGATGGCCATGGCAAAGAAGGAAGCTGTACCTACCTCTTTGTTGCCACGGTCATCTTAAATTATCGACCTCTCTAAATAGTCTTAATATGACGTAATGGCTCTATTTTGCAAATACTTTGTTTCCCCATTGTGCAACTTCCATTGCGATGCAATTTATATTGACCTTTGACCACTAATTACACCTGAATGTTCTATCTTTTTTGTTATGTATTCACGAACGTGCAGCTAACAGAATGATCTCGTCGAAAAGAAACATTTTTTCTTCTAGAGTCAATGAACGCCATAAGAAAAGTGTATATATAAAAATTTTCTTAAGAAATAAAGTACAACAATAAGTGATTTACTAGCTTAAGTGTTTATTTACATCTCATCCAGTTATAAGACATGTTATCATATAATTACCCGAAAATCGGTGTAGCAAATTGTAATCGGTTATATCTAATGGTAATATTTAAAGTGTTTGAAACCATGAGCTTTATATCAATAGTTTTGTAACAATTACTTACTCCTCAATACTTGTATAAAACACCCTAAAATAACAGGACAGTAATAAACTTATTCGGTAGATGCACCAATTGATTGTTTGTTTTTCGCTTTATATTGACAATCATCAAATGTATTAGAGGTCATCAGTCGTCATTTTTCCTGACATTAGGGCTATTTCCAGTTAGAACTATCCGTTTAAAAAGAATGCTCGGCATATTGAAACCACAAAATCCAGATAGCTTAGTTAGAAGGAAGAACACAACTGCTTGTCTCCAGTGTTGCAAGCCAGGAACAATATCTAACTCAAATACCCATTTTATATTCCTCTTCAACCTTCCTATAAGTTGTTTTAGGGATATATATATATATATATATATATATATATATATATATATATATATATATATATATATATATATATATATATATATATATATAACAACGACCTTACAACACTGAACATGCTTAACAGTTAAAAATAAATTATTTTGTTCCTAAACTCATACTAATCACTTTTCGTGTTTCGGAATTGTCTTTCACACCATGGAAGTGCAAAGAAGTTTCATAAAAATATCAAAGGCTATTTCCGAATTGAGCCTCGGTACTGAACTACTAGGAGCTGGTGTAAAATTTCCTCAGATGAGTAGCCATGTGATTTCTGATGTAAGTAGAAAAGATTAAACAAGTCTTCTTACAACTTAACCCAGAATGACATATGTCAATCTGGATCACCTATTACAAAGTGGTGATTTTAGTTTTACTATAGAAGTTCAGCATAAACGACCGTCTTATTGATTATAATTGTTTAATCTTATGAGACCGTGACTTCCTGACTTCTGACAGCTCTGTAGGTTCAGTTACTTTTTATCAGTAAAATTATGCGTATTTGGTAATAACAACGTGTAGGCGATTCTGAGGCCATGTTTTTCTTCACGATGGAGCGAAGATTTAGCAGATGAAGTCATCTAAGAATTCGCGTTTCATTAGCTTGAACACATCTTACGCTTATTGTCCTAACATACAACAAACAGCTTATTCACCCTAAGAGTAGATGGAAAAGTCGAAACGTTGTCAGTTTTTTATAAATTTTATTTTGTGAAAGACATTCCCTCTGATAGAAATTCGTTGGCACTTTTTGCACAGCAGAGTTTTTGAGACTCAGTCACCGGAGAAACCGTCACTATATAGTCTCCACATGTTTTTGAAAAATTACTGTAAATCAATTAGAGCTACTTAAAGTTTTCTTTGTTGACTGCTTCTACCTGACCAGTTATCTCGAGTTTCCTTTGTGATCGGGTTCCTTGATATCTGTTTGCCGAAAAAATGAAGATTAAACTGCACCCAGTGACCACTTGCATGTTTGCGCACATGCACACGCACATTTTGTGTGAGGGCTGCTAGTACCACCTAGTTGCCCAAACCACGATAAGTGAAAAGAGGTTCAAATAATCAACTTCTCAGAATAATGAGCCACAGTTCAACTTGGCTTTTTTAATATAAGTAAGGTAAATTATGTTGTGTTGTATGTACAATGAAGTAGAGGTGATAATTATACACTCTGAAGCCTTCAAGAACCATGTGACAATTTAAACCTTGTATCTTTAAACAGTTATGTTCTTTGGACTAATTGCAGTTAACTGATGGCTTTTTTTTGAAACGAAAATTTGAGGTCTTTTGTGAAGTATTTTTTCACTACACACCTAATTTTTAATCACTCGAGGATAATGCTTCAGTAAGTTACACACTTTCTCTGTTTATTGTTTGTGAATCCCTTCAAACATCAACGTGAAACCAGTCCACTTTTACTGAATAGTTTTAATACTATCATACAAAAACAACAAAGCTGACTGCACACTGAATCACTTGGTAGGATAAAATGATGCATACTTTATAGACGTCTCTTTTT